GATCTCTTACACATGAAGCTGCTATAGAATGAAGCTGAATGCTTTTCATAAAAGTCTGATCCAAACCTGCTGGAGACGATATTGCATTTAACTTCTGCAATCAAGCCTAACAGGTGTTTTTTAATATGCCACTGCATTGCTCAGCATGCCCTTTCTCTCCCTTCACAGTCACATGGCTTTCCTACTGAGTTTTATTTTGACCTAAGGTAGCATTTTCAGCAGGCACACATCATGTGAACAAACCAGAAAATTAACAGGCTGGTGATTTGCTGCTGCTCTCGTTAAGTCAAACAGAGAGAGCACCCTTGTCTTCATAAAGCTGTGCTACAAAAAACTCAGCCAGTGAGAAGTTGCTACTCCAGTTAAATAACCCTCAGGTCTGTTTTGAGCCATTCTGCAATCAAGAAAAAATGAGGAACCAACAGCTTTGCTTCCTGGCTGAGCCTTTTTATCTGCTTTGGCCAAAGACTTTTTGCCTCTGGAAGGCTTGGTCCCGTTCCTTAGACTGTGCTAAGGCTTTGCTGCAGGATGTACATGGCTATGAGGCAGGTGGGAGCTGTAAGCAGCAGAGCATTGATTGTCTCATCTGGGACAGGGTTAATGGCTTTAAATCATTGTGCTGAGGATCTTCAAGACTTGGAAAAATAGATCAAACATCATAATAAAACATATACTGAAACAAATATCCTTCTTTAAATGAGGAATAGCCCTGCTCTGAGTTCAACAAATGCCTGTGCTTTGTCTTGGTTCCCTCTGTGTAAAGTGGGTTCACCAATATTAGTTCAAAGCAATGTGTTGAACTATGGATTGTGAAAGGAACATCTACCACAATAAGCTCTATAAATAACCTAAAAACACTTGGACAGACACATGTAGCTAAAGGACTTCATACTTCAGTGGGCAAAACCACAAAATACCAAAATAATTAAATTTGCCCCTCAGAAGCCTTGAAAATAATTGGGTCAAGTTTCCCTATTTCATCCCTTCCTATTTTATAAGATAATTATGAACAACTCAGTACACCCAGTTTCTGGAAGCAAAATTCTGCACATCCTTCTTTTTCCTCTTTGCTTCCAAAGAAGCAAACGAAAGAAAAACTGAGTCTGAGCACAGTTAGGTCTGCAATATGCCACTGGCTTTCCTCCACACAGCTCCCTTGAAGTCAAACCAGCTGATTAGCTCAGAGATGTCTGTCTCTGTAGAATCTCTCTTCCCAGAGCCAACCAGAAACGGAATTGTGGTTGCCTGAACCAGAACAGTGCTTCTGGGATTTTTTCATGCACTCTCTCTGTGCAGAAGAGTCAACATAATAGTGCAACATGACAAGATGTTGAGCCACAGTGCCAAGACAACTTGCACACTTTGCATTTTTCCTATTAGAGATGCATCAGTGGTTCTGGAAGGGAAGAAAGGGAGAGGAAAAGAGAGAAAATAATGCAGAGGAGTCAAGTCTAGCTCCAAAAGCCTTTGTGTTTTCTATCAAGATGAGGTATTACAAGACAGTGATGATTTGCAGACTTCAAGTACTGTAATAAATTTGCCCTTTTGTTAAAACTGTTTTCCCAAGGAAAAAAAAAATCCAAAAACTAACACAAAACAACCAACCAAACACCAACCAAAAACCAGGACCATAAGAAAAAAGGACCAGAACATTACAAACTACATGGCATCCTCAAGTGCATGCTTCATGCTAAGATGAGCAAACAGAGAAAAAACTAAAAGCAAAACCTTCTTTTCAATCCCTCCTCACAGTTTTTCTGGGAAATACTCCCCCCAGATCACACTACCAAAAAAACTGTGAGTTCCATTTCTTTTCTTAATAACAGGAATGAAGAAATACTGAAAGTTTTGAATGCATTTTCCAATCTTCATTTTTCTTCTGACCAGAGACCTGATTTTAGGCCGGTTTGTGTGGACGTTTTTGATTCAAGGGAAACAGGGTTTGTACACTATCTCTGCACCCTTCCAAACCAGGGTTCTCCCCAGTGCCAGTGCAGGGGGTGGCAGCAGCCACAAGTCGGCCTTGTGCTACAGTTCCCCCCTCCCTCAGCACCCTCCAGCTGGGTGCCCACTGGGATGTCCCTGGTCAGGACTCTCAGCCCGTCTCTGGCTGCCCCTCTCCAGCCCGGGGTGCTGTGCAGCAGGGAGCCTTTCAGCCCCCCCAGCACCCAGTGTGCCTGCTCTGGACCCCAGGGAGTGAGCAGCAAAACCGTGCTTGGGTTGTCACCCACCTGCCCAGGCTTCATCCCCACAGCAGAGCACCAGGGCCACCACTGCCCTCGGGCCCATTTTTGCAGCCCATCCTACACCGTGACCTCATCTCACAGAGAGTCTGTGACACCTCACAGCTCTTGAATCCTTTTAATTTGTAGTGACAGAGAAAGGGGTTGCCCATTGCTGATGGGCCTGTCTCTATGCTGGAGGTATGCACATATCTGTTCAGTCATAAGGAGACAGCAGTTCATTTTCAGCCTTTTTCACTGTAAATGCAGTGGTAGATTATGGGGCAGGAGGGTGGTATCATTTCTAATGGAAATTACCTTAATTATAAATTAGAAACATAAAGAGGATTACCCTCACAAAGGAAAGTATTATCTCATAATTTTTATTAAAAAACTACTGCTCTGCTGTTTTAACACAGTCAGCTTAAAACCTCCAGGCTGATGAAAGAGTTCACTCTCAGTGTTGCTTTTTTCAAGAAAGGAGAAGATATTTGGATTGACTTCCCTCCCCACCCCACCTCGTTTCTAAAGTGTCTCTAAATTGCCCCACAGTGTTACTGATCCATGAGCTGTACTGTAGATATTTGCTCTTAAAGTCCAGAAATCCCCTCTCTTTGTTAGGTGACAACCTATGCCTAGGGCCCTGGCAGAGATTATTAACTTTACCATTTAGTTGGCTTCCTGACAGAGATTTTTAATCCTGTGAATTACTTTTAGGAGGGCTATATCAAGAATTTCAGAGCTGCTTTATTATCTATGAATCAAGCCTTGGCTGCACATTCAGAACATCATCCCTACTTGAGAAGAGCAAACATATGTATGTATGGGGATATAACAAATGAGTCTTTCAGACCCATCTTGACAATGAAGTTCATGGATTTACATCCATTCTAAAGATGCAACAGAAAAAGGACAGAAGGTCACAAGTTTCCTTCCAATATAAAGCCTGAATTTAGCCCCATCACAGTTTTGCTCTATGGAACCGTGAGCCTGAAATTTGCCAGACACCCCCAAGTGACAGAGGGTATTTTTTCAGGAAAAGGAAAATTAACTGGAGATTTGTTTTTTCAAATATGGCTCAGCAAACATTTACCTTCTGTTAAGACTCTGACTCCTGCACTGAACCAGTAACATTTCTGCACAGAAACTTTCCTGCAGAAGTAGTTTTTGCTCTGATAAAAATTTAAATATAGAAACTAAGCAAAGAAGAGCTACTTTTTAGATAGAAATCACTTTTCAGCAAAACATTTCCTCTTTGACCTTGGCTTTCAGTTAAAAGTGCTTTTAAGCTACCTTTTTAAAGATCATAGCATGAACTCTGAAAAGGCTGGCCTTATGGGGAAGGGCAAGGCTCTACATCAGATTTTCTTTATCCATCCATAGGGTCACATCCATAGGGCTGTTAGGCAAGTGCTGCAGACACCTTAGGGGGTGTGGAAGAGAGGGAGGTGCACACTAGATGTGCATCCTCACACCCATCTGTGCATAAAGCTCGTGGAGAAATAGCTTGGCAAGCACAGCAAGCTCCTTCCTGCTCGGAAGAGCTCATCCCCTCTCTTTGATGGTGGCAAAATCCCCTTGTCTTGGTAGGGAAGCACTGAGCCCTGAGCACAGCAGGGCTGCAGAAACCTCTCCTCAAGGCCACCAGCCAGGCACTGGAGGTCCCTCAATTCCTTGGGCTTGCATCTGCCACAGGTACTTATGTAGAAAATGGCTGCAAAAGCAGCAACGTGCTGCCAAAAAGGGGAAAGCAACAGGTATGGGATTTGTCCTTCATGGGCTACGGGCATGCCAGCACCTCTTCTGCAGTTCATCGGGCTGGGAGTCCTAAAAAACCTAATAAACTGGGAGCCAGACATTCACCATGTTGGGAAGCACGTCCTCAGATCACCGTTTGGTCATGTTTATACATTTAGGCTGTATGCAAATCTCGTGGTGAGCTATCAATTATAAAACCTCAAAGGCTTTTGCACTGTTATAAATGATACAGCATGAGAAATGTTAGAGTCGCGGCACAAGTGTTTTCCGAAGCAAAGGCATACAGCCCGGAGCCAGGAATGAGGTAATTACTTGTACAATAGAAATGTAAATTCAGTAACCTGAAGCAGGGGTGGGGGAACACAGAAGCGATACAAGTCCTTACAGAGCCAGGTCCCAGGGGTAAGTCTCAGGCACCGAGGCAAGCAGACAGGAGGAAGAGAAAGTTTTTCTATGAAGGAATAGTCACCTTTAAAATGAGAGGAAGAGGGAACAGAATATCCCAGCCCCAATAGCAGCAGATAATGAACTACTCTAAAAAGCTAGCTGGTTGAGGGAATAGCCAGAAAAAATAAATACTTAAAGCTAAGTAAAATGTTAATAATTCTTTTATTTTATTAACTTTATTCTACTATTACATACCCTCAGGCCTAAGTAAACACCCTTTATCGTTCAGTCTCATCTACTGAAAATGCTGACTGTCGAGAAACAAAACACAGGGTTTCCAATCCTTCTGGGCTGGAATCAGAGGATTAGTATGCTTTAACAACAAACAGCCAAATTAAAAAATAAAACCAAACCAAAATATTCCCGGGATATCACAAACCTCCCCAGAGAGGAGGAAAGCTCCTTCAAGAGCAGTTGGGCATGGGAGCCCCTCTGATGTTCAGAAGGGGGTGGGAAGGACCCTGGGCACAAAGGGTGTGCAGCACCGATCCATGAGCAGTGCTGGAAGCCTCTCTGCCTCGGGATAAAAGCCACACACCAAACCCCCATACAGAACGAGCTCAGGACACCTACCTGAAGGAGCCTGAGATAGGAGGAGGACCACGGGAAGCATCAGGAAGACTTCAGCAATCCCACCTCTTGGGCTCTTATTTCCTAGCTGCTTCTCATCATTCTCCAGTCCCTCTGTCTAAACAAGTCAGCTGAAACCCATAGCCCAGGGGCACGGCTGTTCAAATGGAGAGGGATAAACCAGCTGTGTTTTGGCCAGACCTGACTGAAACCCCACTCCTACAGTCGGCAGTGCACTAGCAGTTAAAGCTCATCAGCTAGTGAAAATCAGCTCCACATGCCCACCGTAGGTGCAACTGTGGGAATTTGCATCCTGCAAGGCTCTGTTGAATGCATCCTGGCTTCCTTTTCAGTGTCAAAAATAAAGCTTGTTATTTGCTGAGGTTTGGGATAGGGGGTGGGGATGTGACAGGAAGATCCTGAAATGTTTAAATAAATGGAGGCAGCAGTGTTTTGAAGTACTGCTTGTTCCTCTCGAGGCTTTGCCCAAAAAAAAAAGAAAAAAAAAGGATTAAAAAATAGTGTGGCCTTGTGACTTTTTTATAAAACCCTGCTGCATCAGAAAGTTTGAAATATAAACAGCTGCTTTTACTGACTACATCAGTGCAGCTGGGCTGCCTAATCCTTGGGTAGCAGTGCTTATAAATACTGCTCAGACAGGCAGGTTAGATCAGATTTTCCCATGAGCTCACCCAGGATGGTTGGCTTTCATGGACAGGCACGCTGTTATCTCTTTTAGCAGCCAGCGTTTTAACAGCCAGCTTTTGAAAGGCAGCCACAGTTTTCAAAGAGTCAGTCCTGGGGAGGAGGAGAAGGAGGTGGCAGAGGAGAATATCTTTCATCACAAACCTGACACGGGAGAAGTTGTGCCTGCATTGATGCCAGGGGAGAATGTATCACTCACTGTCAGGCAGAGCCAGGCCATTTCCAACAGGCAGCAACCAAGCTGCTGCACAGCCCTGGGCTCTTTCCCCGTGGGCACAGGCCTGTTGAGACCAAGTGCCCCTGGAACACTGGAACCTGGTTTTGCCAAGGGGGTAAATTGTGGCAGCAAAGGATATGGAGCTGACCTCCTCCCTCTGCATCCCTGAGAGCATCCCAGCACCCTGGTACTCAAGGGATGGGATCCTCCCACTGCAACCCCACACCCTAGAAACACCACTGGGGGTGGACAGAGAGATGGGATGTGGGTATTTCAATGAGGATTGTTCACTTTATCATACAAGCTGGGCTTTTTAACATCAAAGGGCAGCAATGCTTCCAGTTTGACCTCCTGGCACTGTGGTTCCTCCCCCTCAGGGGTATTTATCCTAGCGGCATGGTCACCTCCGTGAAGGGAGACACACCCTTAGCTAGAGGAAAGCATCTTGCAAAGAAAGGATTTACTGAAATAAAAACAATAGAATGAAGTAGAAACAATAAAAAGAAGATGCATTATCAGTAGAGTTTAAATTGTAGGAGGATGACTAATCAGAGCCCAGCTTTGGATGGCCTGTGCGGCCTGTGCCTGGCAAGAAAGCATTAACCCAAACCTCCTCAGCCAAGACACGCAGAAAATCACCTTCAGTTCCGCTGCCTTCTTTGAGCTGATCACTACAGAGGTGCTCCTGAGCAGCAAACACAGGGCTGCAGCCCCAGGGAATCCATCAGGAGGGAAAGGGGGCAGTCCCACAAGCAGAGCAGATTGAGGAGCGCAGGCAAGGCCGGCGATGCCTGAGCCGCCTCAGCGTTCGCCCTGCTCAGGCCTCAGTCAGGCTCAGGCGCTGCAGGAGCTGCCACAGCTGCGGGGCATGGGCTGCCCTTCCTGTCAAAAGCCATTCCTGGAAATCTTGCTCTGGGCATTTGGCTGATGTGTCAGGAGAGCCCCGAGGAGACCAGGGAGGTGACATTATTGCTGCCGCAGAAGAAAAGTGCAGATAATGAAAACTGTGGCTGTGTCAACAGCGCTGCTGAGGAAAGGCTTTTTCCTCTCTATGTTTCTGTTTCTTCAAAAAGAGAAGCAAATCTCCAAGCGTTAGCAAAAGAAAAAGTGTTTTTATGGGAGTCTGCTGAAAAATGCAGCCAACATGAAGCCACTTGAGCTTGCTGGCTCTATTAGAGTTAAATCAATGCATCCCTCAGCGAAGGGTCCTGTGGCAAAAGGGCCTTCAGCTACATTTCCTTGTCTGTCCTTATACTGATCCTAGTGGTGCCATCCCAGCTGAAAAAAAGATGTTGAAAAAAAGCCATTACATCTGCATGTACACTCAGAAGGGGCCAGTGCATAACAGCTCCCTGATGAGGGTCTGAGCTCCAGCCACAGACCCAGCTGAGCACAGGAAACTTGCACCCAGCAACCCCACAGGGCACAGAAGCTCCCTTTCTTTCCTGAACACTGTCAAGACTGAGAATAAAAAGCTAAAACTCAGGTCTTCATCACCCCCTTCCAAGTTCAAGGAAGTCAGTAGTGAACAGTGGGACAGGGTTAGTTTTGGCCCATTCGGATCACAAAGTGTAGAGGCAAAAACTTCATTTACCAAAAAAAGGGTGATCCACCTAAATGATTTCTGCCACAGGGCATGAGTTGTCTTTAATTTCCAATTGTCAAGGGCTGCAATAAGGCAGGGGAGAGAAGGATGGTCATTAGGAGAGCAGAGTTATTAGCCTGTGTCCTCAGGAATACAGACATCATCCCTCTCTACCTCTCTCTCTCTCAGCCAATTTCAGCTGAATTTAAAGGAGTCTCAGAGGTATAAGTCTCAAAAACAATTGAACTTCCACATGACTGATGAGCCATAGCAGTCTGGGAGAAAAAGAGGTCCCAGGGAAAAGCACATGGCCAAGACTAGGCAGTGGTCAGCAATGCCATTTGTCTGGATGGCCCCCACCTGGACACTTGAGGAACACGGCCAGGCAGCCAGGGGAAGGGAGCACAGGCTCAGTCTTCCCAGGGTCCACCAGGTCTGCTCATGGGACGTAACTTCAAACAATGCAGGATATTGCTGGGGAGAAAAAACTATTTCAAAGCCATTTTCTGTGACTGCTTTCTTTGACAGGGTGTTTCCATGCTTTAGATAGAGACTCAGCATCAAATTCCTTGGCTGCAGTTTGAAGGAACATTATCTAGGTTGGAAACAATCTCCCTGTTTTCAGAGGTGATGAGGATTTGTCCTGTATGTTGTACGAACACACCATTTCCAGCACAGGGTTACACACATTCCTGCAGCAAGATCCAGACAGGGCTGTAGGCTTCATGCAGCAATATCTGGCAGCTGATCACACTGATCCTTTGAGCCTTAAAATTAATTAGTGAAAAACTAAGAGGAAGCTAATCACTTTCAGTTATAATGGTTTCATATGATATCAGGATGAATATGTATCAGTTCGACAAGATTACAAGCGAAAAGTGGAGAAGAGGTGAAAAATTCCTTCATTTTTGCTGGTGTATCACAAAGCAAAAAAAAAAAAACCAAACAAAACAGATGCAATCTCTTCTTTCACAAGAGTCCTGGAAAGAAAATACCCAGCCCTACAAGGATCTCCATTAAAAGACAGATTCAGTTCCCGTCACTTCTGACATGGAAGTGCATGCAGAAGTAATGAAGGTTTGCTCTGCTCACAGTTCTCTGTGCATAGCTGCTGGTAATTGTTCTTACTGAGCAGTGAGGCATTCTTCTTTGTGGAAAAAATCAATAAATATTTAATTCATAAATGCAAGAGAGGTGATGAGCAAAATATACAACTAATAAAGATAAATGGCTTTCGTACCCATGAAGAAGTCTCATAAAGAGTCAGTGGAAAAAGCGTCCCTGCTGAGCAAAGAGAACAAAATAAATGGGAGATTATATACTGCAAACACAGCATTGAATTTAAAAAAAACAACAAAAACAAACAAAAAGAACAAAAACCAAAACTCCCCCCAAAACACAAGAGAAAATATTAATGCATCATTAATGCTGAGTGTTTAAATCTACAGAAATCAGCACAACATAAAGGAAGATTCCTGAGGCAACATTAATTGGGACTTATTGTGGGCTCTGTTATTGATAATTACATACATTCAACTGCATAAACAAATTGCCAAAACTGTATACAACTGGAATGCAAATAAGGGATGTGCAGTCATGTGGTTTCTCCTACACTGTGAGACCCAGCAGGCAACATGTGCAGCAGGAACAGTTTACGGATGCACACACATGTATATATGTTCCATGGACCAGCACAAGGCAAAAAGTCCACCCACAGTACCTTCAATATAAGTTATTTGTGTTTGTTTATTTACTTGCAGGCAAGTTAAGGATGGGGCTAACAATGCATTCTTTTAGTGCTTGCATAATTTGTTTCATCTGTTGTATCTGAAAATGCTGAGACACGACAAGAATGTAACACTCTCTAAGTGGTAAAGTACTTCTATTTAGTCATTTCTATGGCCAAATGAAAACTTTGTTTTATTTCATGTCCCATACTGCCAGTAAAACCACAGCTGAGCTAACATGCTCCAATCCCTATGCCTGTTTTCCAAAGCACAACATCCTGGGGACATATTCTCTAAATTTCTTGCAAAGGCTTTGGAACCACACAAATGCAGCCCAGAGAAAGAGCCTCATCCATCAGCAAGGCCAGGGTCTGTCTTGGCTCCAGCAATAACATTGTACCTTATCAGCACCAGGCAGTCACAACTTGGCAAACGGCACTCAAATTGATGCTGGAGGGGGGGTATTATTTGCATCATTGATATTCCCAGAAACCCCAACAGAGATCAGATTCCTGCTGCAAGTACAAAAGAAATTGTCCTTCATGTCCAGGTAGGCTATTAACCTTTCGGAGAAGGGATTAAGTGTGAGTGGGTCATCCTTTCAAACAATTCCCATTTCAGAGGGGAAGAACTGACCCTTCTACTGAATGCTGTGGATTGAAGTGGGAATTTTGGTGTCCTGACCAAATTTGTTAAAAATTAAATCAAGCTCAAAAAAGTGATCCCAGACTCTTTATCAAGGCACCCAAAGTTGCACACTGCGACAGAACCCAGAGGTGCCACTCTTCCCCACTGGCATTTCCCATGAATAGCCAGTCCCTCCCCACCTCTTGTGCCTCCTCTTTAATCAGAAAAAAATAATGGAAGTGCTCATGCAGTGTTGCATCTTCTTTCCACTCTTGCTTTCAGGCTCCCCGGCATCTGAGCATGGGGTGAAACAGACAGGGGAGACATTCTGCTTAGATGATTTAACCAATCTCATGCAAATGTACTCAGCAGTCGCGGTACCCATTGTGTTTTCACCTACATAATGGCCAAGACAGCTGAATATAGCTTTTTCCAAGGATAATAGCATTTTTACGCATTATTCCTTAAAGCTTTTTGTGCTCACACACTGAAAAACAGCTCCAGCTGAGGAATAGCTGAAGTCAATATACTCGGTCTCTGTCCAGGTAATTATGCATCCTC